AGTAGAAACCCAGTTAATATCTGCTGAAAGAGAGAATAGGATCAACTCCATGAAACTGAAGAAAATAGCAAAAGGCCTTAACACCTTGGCTCAGGGGGATTTAGGAATTTTGCAAATACAGATTTTGTTTTTTAGACTTTGCCATAGATCTGTGAAAATAGAATGTCCTCTGCAGGAGTTGGTGGTTATTTTTAATCAGCATTGAACTAGGTGTGCCCGAGGCCTCAAGTTTGGCAGCTCACTGCCTTATCAAAGGACAACCTGGAGATGGGATTTGGTAAAGGGAGAAGGGCTTATTTTCATTTTTTGCTAAAACTGGGGAGAGAAAAACTTAATTTGTCTCCATTTTCTGTAGCAAAATAGGCTTCTGTCTGTCCCCCCCACTGGTTGACAGTTGTTTACTGAGCAACGATGACGGTATTTCTGAGTTAAGGCCACCCAAGTACCTTTTTTTCCCCTGCTCTGTAGCATTGTTTGTGTTATTCCCAGGCTGTATCTACTTGATTTTACTTCTTTTGCTTAATCATTTATTTGTTTGTTCATCCAATCAATAAACACTTATTGAAGGTTTATGATAAGTCAGTTGGATCCAAGTAGGTTTTTGGCTGTAAGAGGAAATGTTCCCTGAAGTTATAACTCTAGATCACTGGTCAGGTGTTTTCACTCAGTGTGACAGGCAGTTTATGGTGGTGGTAGAGAACTATGGAGGAAGGAGACACAGGGATGAGCTGAGGCTTGGCCCCTTGTCAATATTACCATATAATTCTGCCTTTGGCAGTGAATGAACTCTGAGGGACTGTCCAGATTCCATTTTTTTGGCCACAAGTGTGGGTGGATAAAATATTGTGTGCGACTAGGCTTAGAACCTAGTGCTTTTTAATTTCAGATATTTTTTGGTGGGGGGGCCAGTGCTACAACTTGTGTCTCCCCAAGTCTCACGAGTTAAAGGCTTACCTACCAGCTTATGCACTGTTGGGGAGTGGAAGAAATTTTAAGAGGGGGTCACAGACGAGGCATCCTTTGAAGGCAGTTTTGGGAACCAGGCCCCTTCATCCGTCTCTTGTTTTGCTTCCTGGCGCCATGAGTTGAGTGACTTCTTGGCCGCCCACTGACCATCATGATGTTCTGTTTTGCTACAGGCCCAGAGACAACAGGGCCAGGGAAAACGCACTGAGGCCCCCCGAGAGCAGGAACTCCTTTCTGAAGCCTGGTTTGCTCAGGTGCTGTCAGAGATGAGCTGACTAACACAAATATTATCTAATTTAGAGTGGTTCCCTGGAGCCTGAGTGGGAAGACTCATTTAATCTCCAGAGTTAGTCTACTCTTGTCATGCTACTTACTATCTTTCTGGCTGGATAGTACAATTATTAATCACAGCCGAAATGCGTATTAGAACTGCGATAGTGCATATGTGTGGTGGCTAATCGTCATCATGGTCGTGACTGGATTAAAATCCCCTAGGAGACACACATTTGGGTGCACCTGTGAGAGCGTTTACAGAGAGGGTTAAATAGGAGGGAAGACTTTCCCTGAAGACACCGTTCTGTGAGCTGGGGTTCTGGACTGAATAGAAAGACAAAAAGGAGCCAACAAGGTGAGCAGCAGCACTCATGTCTCTGCTTCCCAATGGTGGATGCAGGGCGACCAGCACCTCCTGCTCCTGCCATCAGTGCTGCCCATCGTAATGGACTACATACCCTCTTAGCCATGAGTCAGAATTCGTCCTCCTCCCCTTCAGCTGCTTCTGTGGGTATTTTGTCACAGGAACCAAGAGAGTGACTGAGACAGTGTGCTAATGTTTTCTTCCTGGTTGTCAAAACTGCCACAGAGGTACACAGGCAAGAGAGCACCTTTGTGCTTAATAGACCTGCCTTTGCCAAGAGCTGGATATGTCTACGGTCACCGGGGCCATCTTGGTGCCTCTGCAGAAGAATATATTCACCTTCTCTGATGGCTCTCAACCTTTTTTGCAGATAAACTGCAGACCTTCAGGGTTTCTTGTTCTTTGTTTTGGTTCCTTGACATCAACTTAGAAGAAAGGCCAACAGATGTATCTGCAAGGATGTGTCCTTTAGACTTCCTAACTGTGGTGCCCCATGCTGTCAATCATTACTGTAGCTAAGTCCCAAATGTATGCCACCTTTCCTCTCGGGTAGGTTTAGCTTACGGTTAACCACCCCTTTCCCTTGAGCATCTCTTACTCGGAAACAGTAGAGCTGGGAACCTCAGCATTGTCCCTGAGTCACCCGTATTAGGTTAACCTGGGGGATGTGGGCAGAAGACTTACACCAGGCCAGCACACTGAGTGGATCCCTGCCATGTGCCCTCATGATAGCCATACACACGGAGCTCTGAGAATGATATGTGTGGATCAGGGAAGGCAAACTCTAACTCTGTGACAGGTGTTTTATCCTTCGTGGGATTACTTCCTCTCCCTCAGTTTTAGCTTTTGTAGGAAAAAAGTCACCGAAGAGCTTCTTGCGCCAAGCAGGTGCTTCACAGAGCTGCTACCTGAAGCTAGGTGCTACAGAAGACAGACGGCTTAGCCAATAACTTAATTCCATCACTTTAATTTTTTTCCTAATACCTATCCAACTTCCTTTCAATGAGGTTTCCCTACAGATCATCAGTGGGGCTCAGCCTTGGCTACTCATTACAGTCACCTGGGGGAATTGGGGCATCTAGGAAACCCTGACCTGGGTCCCAGACTAATTCTATTATAATCATCGGGCTGGAGGGCATCTGGTGTTTTAAAAAAAATCCCTATTCCCCTAGCTGATTCCCCTGCATGCCTGGTCCATTTTCTCTCCATTCTCTTTCTGTGTGTGTGTGTACTTAGTAACTGGATTGCACCTCTAAGCTTTGCTTTGCTGGGGGAGGAGAGCATGCAGCCACACTAGCCAATTCACCTGCTGTTCTTGTTTTGTTCTGTTTTGAGACAACGTCTTCCAAGTAGCTCTGACTAGCCTGCTACTTCATATTCAGCCCAGGCTGGCCTTGAACTCACAGCAAGCTTCCTACCTTAGCCTCCTGAGTGCTAGAATTACAGGTGTGTGCCACCATGCCCAGTTATCTGTTATTTTTCAAAAGTGTGGGTTCTAGGGTCCATCCTATTGATTGGAAAAGCAGGCACCAAGGCCCCTGGACATGAAGGCACCCGTGGTGGGGCCATGGGACATGTGCTTGAGCAGCGTTCAGTAAACAAAAGGGGAGAAGGAGGTTTGCCCAGGCAGGAAGCTTGCAGCCCACACTGACGGAGGCTCTGCCAGAGAAACGGCAAGTAAACACCAAGCTTTACCATGGGAAAGGAGGAAGTTTGCCTTCAATCCCCTATGCAGACTCTAAGACAAAAATCAACCAGCCTGTCAGCCAATGCCGATACATACGAAAAGGATGGCAGGGGGTGACAGGGACTCCAGGCCTGGCGCTGGAGTTGCTACTGGGCTCAGCGCTCTTCCTCCTAGTGTGTCAGTGAGGGTTTTCTAGAGAAACAGAACGGAGAGCAGGAATTTATTAAATCAGCTTATGTTGAAATAGTAACAACTGTCTCACACCTGAGAACCCAATACTTGCTGGGTCCTTGAGGCCGGGTGCCTCAGCAGGTGGAGTAGTTCCACAGTGGCCCTCTCACACAGTGAGGCAGAGAATCCTGTAGTGGTTCGGTTCCTGATGGCGGGTGCCTCAGCAGTCACAACCTGGCGCTGAAAACCCAGAGAGTTTCTGGAGAGCCACCGGTCTTTAGTCAAAGATGGAAGCTTGGAAATGCTCGTTCTGATGTCAGTGAAGGAGTGGGGGGGGGGCGGCAGCAACAACAGGATGAATTAACTTGGCAGTTGAGAAGGAAAGTCAACAAGCCATGTCCCTTTGATCTGGGGTGCTACCAGAAGGTGCTACCCACACTTGGGGTGAGTCTTCCCACATCAGTTGAGGGAATTAAGACAAGTCCACCAATTGAGGCTCCCGTCTCTGGGGATTCTAATCTGGCAGGTTGCCCCTAAACTTTGCCCACCACGGGTGTGAACCCGGCTTCCTGCTTTGCTTTGCAGTCTCGGCCTTTTCCGTGGTTACAGATCCCTCGGCTCCTCTACCCACAGGGTACATTAATTCTTCAGAGCTCCCAAGTGCTAAACTTCTGAATACACAAAGAGTCAAACCACCCTTTGTTCCAATTCCAAATTTTGCAGCAGAAGAATTTAATGGTCTTAGGTCAGGCATCTCTCGTGGCCATATAATTATTCCCTCTATGGTCCAATGCTAATTTTATGTGCAGTTATTTTATTTCCTTCAGATGGTGGGACAATTGGGCTATAAAATGTCATAAGAAGCTGAGTGTGGTGGCACATGCCTGTAGTCCCAGCACTCGGGAGGCAGAGGCAGGTTGATCTCTGTGAGTTCAAGGCCAGCCTGGTCTACATAGTGAGTTCCAGGCCAGCTGGGTCTACAGAGAGACCCTGTCTGAACCCTGTAGTAGGGTGTGTGCTCTTCCTCCAACATCTCGTTTTTTCCATGATAAATTAGTATTCATTGATCAGGGGAATTGTCATTCATCAGTTCTCTGACAGATAGCCTTCTGTGTAGATAAATGACGTGGAGTGCAGAGCATAGCATTATAGCAACAGCCATTCACCACGGATATAAAAGGCACAACATAGGAACCTGTTTGTGTGCATGGATGTGTGTGTATACTCACCAGGTCAATCTACAATGTGACATTACACAGATTTGGATAGTAAAGATCTCCAAGTTCCTAGCTGTGGGATAGGAGCAGCCCAACATAAGATAGGGATAAAGCTTCTTTATGTGTGAGAACGGCAAAACAGTGCATGTGAAGTGCTAGGCAAAGTCTCAGGGGACTTTGTAATCACTCAAAGTAACTTAACTGTTTTAATTTTTCCTATTAAGGGGCCTGTCTTGGTCCTTAACTGTCAGGATTTACAGAGGCTCTGCTTCACGGCCTTATTATGAAGGGGTCTCAATTCAGGATGAATTCTTTTTTTTTTTTAAGTATGGCACGCTTCACAAATTTGTGTATCATCCTTGTGAGGAGCCGTGCTCATCTCTGTGTAGTTCCAATTTTAATAAAGGTGTTGCCGAAGCAAGCACTCAGAATGAATTCTTAAAGAGAAAAATTCTTACTCCATTTCTACTCTCTGGCACAGCACATCAAGGTCACAGGCTACAGATTCATTTTCTTTAGACCCAAGGACAGAGTGAAAGAGGAGGTAAGAGAGCCGTTTGCCGATTGGTGACTCTGGCATCAGGCTGGTAATAGGTAAGCATTATTGAAAAAGCTTCACTTTGCCCTACACCTAAAGTGATGAAACCAACGGATGGAGGTTATAACCTTTTTGATGGTCAACACTGGGGACATACGGGACAGAGTGTGAGTTCCAGACTGCACACGGGGCTCTTGAGTACATGACCCTCCTAGAGGTCATTCTCCCCTCTCTGGCTTCGGTTATTGGAGAGGGGGAAATAAATCAGCACTTTTTTATTCTCGGTCACAGGCAGACACTGGACCATGTGCTGTCTGCAGTGTTATGTAGGATACAAGTCTGTGTCTATAATTCAGATATTAGCTCCATTTTATACATAATTGTGTTTTCATGATTTTAGCTTAAGAATTTTTAAAGCCACAACAACAAAACTATGGTTAAATCTAGATCTGTTTTCTTCCAATGTCTGTGCTCTTTTGACTCTGACATGCTTTAACAGAGGGACAAGTATCTGTGACCTGTGGCATTCTTTGGAACTTCATTTACATTTGTGGAAGAAAATCTTGAGAAACTTGATTTAAAAAACCAACAACTTGGAACAGCCTTGGCGCTTAAAACAAACACCAAGCCAGGGTATGGTGGCGCACCTTTAATCCCAGCACTGGAAGGGAGGCCAATCTCTGTGCAGTCCCAGGCTAGCCTGCTGTATATAACAAGTTCCAGGTTAACCAGGGCTACAGGGAGACCCTGTCTTAAAGAAACCCAAACAAAACAAAGCAAAGCAAAACAAACAAAACAAAAATCACCATCAGCATTGTATATACAGGATTAGTGGCACAAAGTCGCATCTTCTCACTGTGAGATCCTAGGACCTGGATCCAGCTCTGCTCCCTGGGGTTGAAGCTGAATGCAAATGAACAGAGGCCTCTGTCCCAGACTCTGGACCTTGTCACTTCTCGATGGAGCACTCTGGGGCCCTTCGTGTGATTTGTCCTTTGACACTTTCATATTTGTGTAACAGTGTCCCAAAGCTCAGGAGCAGCTGGGACAAGCAGGCTGTAGTAGTGGCTGCTGTGTCTGTCCTTGGCCCTCATCATTGCCACCCTTGTGGAGGTGTCCAGTCGCAAACACCTGTGGCTCTGCCTTCAGCCTTTCTCTTGATTCAAGCTGGGGTCAACCAGAAGCAAATTAAGTACTTTGCTAGCAAATTAATTCTCCGGAAACAGCTCTTGCCAGTGACGGGTGGGAATTTTAAGATAAACGAAGAGTCCTTTCCTTTTAGGGTAGGAAACCCCAGAGCTAACTCACTGTTCCCCTACCTTCCCTGGCAGGATTAAACCCTAGTTTCCAAGAGTGGTAACAACACTCACTTGGTCTCTTTTCTTTCATTGTCTTACTTTCCCATTTCCCTGTCAGTACTTCTTGAACCAAATACTTTTATCTGGATCGACACAAGACAAGGAAGAGAGGAGACTGGGAGTCCAACAGTGCTCCATGAGGACTCTCTGTGAAGTCAGGAGGGACAGCAGGAGGAAGTTAGAAGTTCCCAAGAAGGGGGACCTAGATTTTGCTAAGGTTGAAGAAATGGTCTGCTTGAGCCAGGGGTTCAGACAAAGAATGTTCTTCTAGTCCTAGTATATAATCACATTGATTAGTGAAAGGATACTAATTAGCATCCTTTTTTACCTCCAATCTGAACATTTCATACATACACATAATATCTTTTGATCAAATCCACCCCAATTCTTTCTCTCCAGTTGCTCCTGTAACCCCCTCAGCACTTTTTCTTCCCAACCTTACATGCTCTGTTCTCTAAATCCACTAAATCCACTTAGTGCTGCCTATATGTGCATTGACATAGAACCATCTACCGGAGCATGGGTAGCCTCTTGTGTCTCAAATTCCTGTAGAAAACGGATTCTCCCTTCTGGTGCTGAACAGCTTCACTTGTCAATTTAACACACCTGGGAAGAGGGAACCTTAGTTGAGGAGTTTCCTCCATCAATCAGCTTGTGGCCATGTCTGTGAGGCATTTTCTTGATTGCTGAGTGATATGGGAGGGCCCATCCCACTGTGGGTGGTGTGACCCCTGGGCAGGTAGTCCTGTGTTGTATAAGGAAGCAGGCTGAGCATGGGCCACAGAGCAAGTCAGTAAGGAGCCTTCCTCCAAGGTCTGTGCTTCAGCTCCTGTCTTAGGTTCCTGCCCTGTCTTCCCTCAGTGATGATCTCTGATCAGGATGTGTAAGTCAAATGAACCCTTTCCACCCCAAGTTGGTTTGGGTCAGTGTTTTATCACAGCAACAGAAAGCTGACTAGGACAGAAATTGGTACCAGAGAATGGGGTATTGCAGGGAAGGACCTAACCATGTTGTTTTGGGGACTTTGGAAGAATTTGGAACTTTGGGCTGGAAAAGTGGTTGTATGCCTAGAGCTTAAGGAGCTGTTCTTTGGGAACTAGGATGATAAGAACAGCGAGAGACATGTAGAATAGAGGCCTGGCTTGTGAAGTTTCAGATATTTTGAACTGAGAATTTGTGATTTGTGGTCTGCTGGGGCTGAAGAAGTAGCTGTGATTAAGAAGAGATCATGCCCTCTGGGAGCCAACCGACTCCTGATGCCAGGCAGGGGGCATGAAGGAGAGGACCTGGACTTCAACCTGTGCCATCACTATTTCTACAACTATGAAAGCAAGAGGATTTTATACTGCTCCACAGTGCTCAGCAAGGACATCTGGAGGAAACGGGAGGTGGTACCTTCGCTCCCCATGCTGCTGCCCTGGGGCTTGGGTCCTGGAGCCAGGAAATTCCTCTGGAGGGGGTACTTAGGACAAGGAGGAATCTCATGGCCACTGAAAAGCTTGGGGCAGGAATTATGTGACTGCATGTGGAGTGGCTTCTCCATACAAGAACAGTGGGTGGGCCCCTGGTCAAAGTGATGGCCATTCCAGACAGCACTCCCAGCCTGGAAGCCAGTAACCCAGCATTAGCCACTACCCTGGTCATCTGGGTCAGCCCAAGACCCAGGCCTACTTCGGTCTGAGAGCCCCAGTGACTTGGAAGGTGAAGAAATCGATGTCATAACAGTGGAGAAGAGACAGTCTCTGGACATACAGAAGCCAGTCACCATCATGGTGTGAGCAGGCCCTCTAGACCCCTGCAAGAAATTTCCACATTTCAGTCCATCAGCAACAGTATAACTATGCTACCTGATTTCCTCCAGAAAGTTGCCCTCGAGAAGAGGCTCTGGAGAAAGAAGCTCCCAAGGAGGATGAAGTTGTGAGTCCCCCACCTGTAGAAAGCCAGTCCTGCCACCCCAAACCCGTCAGTTCTGATACTGAGGATGTGACCAAAGGGAAGAACCATCACTTCTTGGAATGAAATTGATGGAATGACCTCCACTCAAGGTTCTTGGCCCTGAGGGACCAGGTACTCACCCTGGCCAGATGCTCTAAGGCCCCCAAATCAGTGATCCTAAGTAAGGCCTTAGAAAACTTGCAGGCCCTAGTCAGGGCTGAAAAGTAGGTGGCTACCCAGAGAAGGCGGCTCCAATGTTAGCAGCAGCAAGTGCAGAAAAGAATTTCATACCTCACTGGCTACTAACTGACCAAAAAGCCTGACTTTTCTGTCTTACAGGCACAAGTTTATTTTTCAACTTCCCTCTCCCTTTTAGTAATTTGCACACTTCGGTTACAGCGGGGCAATCATAAACAGATCCCAGAATGCATTGCAGCCAGTGCACACACAGTAAGGGCATACATTCTTGGAAACCTTGAAACCCAGCTCTCCCTTTTCCCTGACTCATGGGAGTGTTGTGTGCTCTCTGGTGCATCTAGCTTCTTAGCAGGCAGCTGACTGAGGAGCCTTGGGGTCTGCCTAGTTCACCAGCTCCAAAGGAAAGTCTGACAGATGCTATGCAACAGGTGGTGGGCGATGTCGGGGCCTGCAGCCCGCTTGAACTCTCACACTGTGCTGGAAATTTAGGCTAGGAAAGGATGCTGCTCCCACTGGTGTCTCTAGGGGTGGTACAAGGACAGCTGGGCTGAAGCTCCTTTTTCCAGGAGAGACACAAGCTGTTCAAGTTGAAGACAAGCTTGCAGACTTGATCAGTGTGGACTGTACCTCACTGTCAGACACTCACTGTACAGGAGCTGAGGAGTGGAAACCTTTAAGATGTATTAGGATGTTGGGCACACCCCTCCCCAATTCTCAATGTGAAGACTTTGAGAACATGTAAAGAACTTGGCCTATGGATTCTTTGTCTCAGAGTCCTCTGGGCCTTCACAGAGAGGGACCTTTCAGTCCTCACAGTGACTTTCTTGTTTCTTTCTGCCTTTGCTCTGCAGTGGGCACTACAGCTTCCTTTCCCACAGACCAGAAATATTTCCTCAAGACCGAAGGAAACAGGTCCTAGCCTGGGCCCCGAGGAAGGTTTGGAGTCTTGGCTCATGAACTTGTTTCCTTGTCCAAGTGTTTTCTGTGGGTCATTTTAGGCCCATCTTGGAACCTTTCCTCAAGGTAGATATAAGGCAACTGAGAAGGAAGTGTTGTACCACGCCATCCTTCCCACCTGCCTCACATCTCAATTCTTGACTCGGAAGTTTTGCTGGAAGCCTGCAGACCCCTCCTCAAGTAACTCGAAGGAGTTTGCTGGCTCTGCAGCACCAGCCTGGTTCCCTGCCAACCTGACTTGAGTCAGATCCTTTTCCCAGAATCTGGGCCTTACTGCAATTCAGTGGAGAGCCACTTGGATTCATCCAGTGTCATAGAAGGTAGACTTACTTCCTGGTGGATTGGAAAGGTGCCTCTTGGAGCTCTGCTTAGCCAACCATGATAGATTTTGTCCCAGCTGGATTGTACAGATCCAGGTGAAATCTAGATGCAGCCGTCA